GCCTGATAGTGTGACTCTCCCGCGCCGGGAACTCTGCGAACTCACAGGGGGCGGGGGGCTGTGGCGGTGGACCCCGTCCCCTGTGATGGGCCAGGGGTGAAGCTTTCCAGCACACAGCCCTTCTGGTGCCTCTCAAGCCCGCTTCGGCGCTGGTCCTAGGTGCGGGTGCACAGGCCTCTCTGGTGTGGGCCCGCGCACTTCCACAGTTGACTCCTGACCCCAGCCACCCCTTCTCCTTCCGGAGACTGCTCAGGGCCTTTGGTGCCCGCTCCTCTGCCACCCTCCGGTGGCTTGGGTGACACCCCACGCTGCTCTGCTCTTTGTTCTTTACCCACAGGGTTAGGAGACAGGAGCTCTGCCTCACCCCGCTCTGTGGGAAACAGGCAGGCCTTCTGGGCCTCAGTTTCCATGTCTGTACAATGAGAGGGTCGACCAGATGGTCCAGGCTTTTCTTCAGCTTTGATGTCCTAAGGGTCCATTCATCCCATGTGCCGCTGCCCCCATCCCAGTCCTCACCCATGTGACCCCTCACCCAGGGCCGCCTTGGCTCTAGGGTCCTTCTCTTCCATCCTGTCACCCCAAACACACCACAGTCCTTCAGCCTGGGACTCTGGTGTCTGCACTGGACACCTGCCCTGCCGTGGGAAAGGCAGGAAAGAGAACCTTGGCCTGGGTCCACCCGGCTGCCAGGCCTTTGTCCCCTCGGGAGCCGTGATGCATGCCAGTCCCTCCTGCTGCATGGGACTCCCCCGCCCACTGGTCTCCCTGTGCCCGTGGGGAGCCTGGGCCCCACCCCTTCTGCTGCCCAACTCCACTCCCTCCCTGTCATGCATGATGGTGGTGTTTTTGCACTGTCTGGTCCTGTGCCCGTCTCTGAGACAGTCTTTGTGTGGAATTTGCCTTAAACTGAAGTAAATTTGGTTCTTTTAGTAAAGTTCCTCGTGTTCCGTTGTCCTCTGAAAAGGTGCCCAGATGCTGCTGTTTGACAGAGTCTGGGTTCTCCTCTCTCTCCATCAGTTCTTTCGTTCCCCAAGGAGCAGCTCCTAGTGCCAGGCTCTGTGCTGGGGCCTGGGGTGCAGCAGTGGACGCGAACAGGCCCTGTGTGCAGGTGGAGCTGACAACACCCAGGCTGGGGAGAGACACACATAAACCGGGGGTAAGAGCACAGTTCAGGCGAGGAGAGGAGTTACGAGGAGAAATCAGAGCGAATAAGATGATCGTGGTGGTGATAGAGAGGGTCAGAGGGTCTCTCTGCAGAGGTGATGGCTGAGAGGGAAAAGGAGGCCATGCCGAGATCTTAGCGAAGAGGGTTCCAAGGGGAGGGAACCAGTGCAAAGGCCCTGGGGTAGGAGGATTCTTGGTGTGTTTGAAGGAGAGCGAGGAGGCCAGTGTGGTTGGGGCCGAGCTAAGGAAGGGTGTGCAGGAGATGGGGGTGGGAAGGAGAAAAAGACATGATGCAGAGGGTCTCCTGGTCCTCGGTAAGGATTTTGGAATATACTCCGAGTGAATAGGGAGCCACTGAGGAGGCGAGAGGTGAGTACTACGTCAGCTTTTCCTCTAAAACACTCATTCACTCCTCTCTCAACTCAACATGAGCGCCAGGCGCACTTAGGCGTGGGAGACACTGACTCACACTCAGAGTTGCACCCTCGGGGTACCCCAGCTCTGGGGTAGCGAGCAAGGATACCCTATGGCCGTGGGGTTGCCATGCCAAGGCAGCAGGAGAGACCGGGGTCTGTGTGGGCACCACAGGGCTCAGCCTGGAGGACTCCCAGGCCATGCACCGTGACAAGCGACGGCTCTTCTCTGCAGCGGGGCCTCGCCGCAGCACCCCTCCCTTGCGGGGCTCCCTGCAGCCAGACGGCGATACATGTGACACGTGCCCAAGACCTCCGTGGTTCCGGTGCACAGTAAAGCCATTTCCCTCTTCGTCCTTCTTCACCTGTAAATCCCCTTGGCCATCAGGGACAGGGCCAGCTCCCTTCTCAGGCACGTCCTCAGGTCAGCCCTCCAGGCAGCCGTGCCCATCCACAAGGAATGCAGTCCTAATCACCCCGGAGCTGGGGCCTTGTTTATTTCTCATGACTGATAGTGAATTAGAGCTGGTTCACAGCACTCAGCAATTAGATGGCCCTCTGACTTGCATACCAGTGTGCTTCGAGTGGGACAGCTCCAGAGGAGGGCCGTTCCCATGACGAATGGCTCAGCTTCCTTCGTGTTGCTGCCCCGGGAGGTGTCAGGAGGAGATTCCTGCCTGGCAGGGGAATCAAGGCTCAAAGCCGCTGCCTAGGTGGGGCACCGAGAGCATCTTTGTTGTGCTTGACGCTGTAGATTCGCTCCTGAGTTCTTTCCCGAGGCGAGCGCCACAGAAGCCTGCCTGCTCTGAGCCCCTCCAGGAGAGTCCCAGGGGCCTGTGGGGATAAGTGCTACAGCAGAGAGGTGGTTCAACTTGGTTTGATTCAATGCTTGCTTTTTTTTTTTTTGGTGGAGGGGAGAGGCTTTTGCTATAGGGCGCGAGTGCTCGCCAGAAAGACAGAGACAGAGAGATAGAAAGCGAGAAATCACCCCCTGGGGGGATGGCCACGCTGCAATCCCTTCTCCTCCATTCTCCTCTTGGGATCTTGGGCATGCACGCACACGCGCTTGGCGTGAGTTTAAGCCACCGGGTCCAGGACTCGAACCGCAGTTGGCTACATGGGAGTTCAGCGACATAGCCATTACGCCAACTGCTGGTCCCTCGATTCAGTGCTTTCTGACCGCGGATTCGGAGTCTGATGTGTGCGCATGCCTGCCTGTGTGCGTTTAGCTGGGAACACTATCACCGAGCAGGCGTGCTGTCTGGGGAATCTCAGTAGACAGCCTCCCCGGTTCCCAGGCCAGCTCAGAGGCCCGAGGCCACTCTGAGGCTAGAGAGAGGACACAGAGGGTGGGAGCTTCCTGGAAGGGAGGGGTGGGAGAGGGAGCCCTTGAGTGGAGCTCTGGGGAGAAGCCCCTGCCCCAACCTCCTCAGGAAGAGAAACTGAAGAAGACAGTTACAGGCTCAGACTTGTGGCTCCGTGGTCGACTTTATTTCTTCCCCTTACTGGGCTGAGGGGATGTGGGCTAGACCTGGGGGTGGGCAGGAAAAGGAAGGGTGGCTGCAAGGTTCCCCTGGGCTCTGAGCCCTCCCCTGGCCTGCAGGGGCATCCCCACCAAGTGCCTGGCCTTCGGGTTAGGACCCACATCACTTCTCTGACGTGGAATCCGCTCTACCACTCTCATGTCCAACTCGCTGCAAATGTCTACGAATCGGAAATAAAATGGCAACAACAGGAGTGATGACCGACATTCGTATGCGCTTTTCGAAGCACTGGGCGCTCCTCTAAGCACCCTGCATGTGTACAGTGGATGCATTTTGATACCGACGCCGTGAGAAGGGGCTCTCGTCCCATTTTCCAGATGAGGAAAGAGGTGCAGAAAGGTGAAGGGCTTTGCTCACGGTCATACGTCGGAAAGGAGGGGAGCCCACAGGTATCTCAACCTCCGGGGGGAAGGGAGGATTTGTCTCCACGGAGGTCTGCGGCGAGCCAGGGAGTGGCCATGGCCTTTGCTGGGCTGCCTGTTGTCTGTGGACCACATTTTTCACTGGTGAAAGGGAGAACTTAGACTCTAATGTCGCTGAGGCCCTTCCCATCGCCCTGGCTTCTCAGCCCTGCCACCAGCCTCTCCTCAGATCCCCGCCAGGCCCCATAAGCCTCCGGGGACCCTGTCCTGGCCAGGCTGGACCCAGGCCCTCACTCCCACACCCCTAAGGCGCCTGGCTGTCATTGGCCCACAGAACATCTCCCTGAGTCCTGCCCGGAAGGGGCGGGAGAGGTAGAAGCAGAGGATGGGGCTGACGGCACAATTGGAGTAGGCCATGATGGTGCAGAGGCTGGGGGTGCCGTGGCCGGCCAGTGGCCCATAGCTGCCACGTAGCCTAGCACAGAGCAGGGCCCCCACATCAGCACGAAAACCACCAGCACCACGAGGATGAGCCTCGTGTTCTCGTAGTGCTCCCTGGCGCTCTCCCCTGCAGGACCGCTGGGCCGTGACCGCAGCAGCCAGCCCACGTGGCTGAAGGAGCAACCCAGACCCAGCACGCAAGGCAGGAAGGCCAGGGCTCCCAGCAGGGTGAAGTAGCAGGAGGTCCGAGCAGGGCTCAGGAGCAAGAGGCAGGCCTGTGCTCCATGGGCCCCCGATGTCTCCTCTTCCACCACCACCCGCTGGAATAGCCAGTTCGGCAGTGAGGCAGTCAGGCCTAAGATCCACATGGCCCCGCAGAGCAGTAGGCAGGCACCCCGGCTGGCCGGGAGAGCCACATCAGGCCAGGCCACAGCCACATGGCGCAGGAGGGCCGTGGCCACCATGCTGTAGAAGGTGCAGAACATGGTGGCTGTGTTGGCAGCCTGGCTGACGGTGCAGATGGCTGGGCCCAGCCACCAGTTCTGCCGCAGGAAGCTCAGCAGGAGCACCGGCACGACGCAGGCCAGGAACAGCAAGTCCGACAGTGTGATGTTCACCATGAGGCTGTTGGTCAGGGCGAGGAGTGGGCGGGGGGCGCCGGGGCCCCGGCCCACCACCAGCAGCATGAGCCCATTGGCTAGCAGCCCCACCAGCAGGATGAGGCCGCAGATCCCAGCGAAGATGAGTCGGAGCCGGTGCTCAGCTGCAACCGTGAGCCCGGCGGGGAACGTGGCATTGGGCTCCATGCTCCTGTTTCAGACACACAAGGACAGCGTAGAAACCAGCCCGAAGGCCACTCCTTTCCCCTGTTGAGGCCCTGTCTCAGACCCCTGCAGACACTCGGCTCAGACATGCGCCTGCCCTGGTCGGACATTCGCCCCCCCAGAATCACGGCAGCCTGACGGGGCAGCGGCATCAGTGCCCTGGGCTCCGTTCCTGGCTGCTTCGCTAGTTCTGCGACCTTGGGGAAGTTAACTACTTACTTCTCTGCCTGGTTTTCTGCAACTGTAAGGAAGGGAGGAAATACACCGTCACGGGTAATTTACCTTTTGTTCTCTGTAATGTCAAAAAAAAAAGAATATTGCCTTTATGATCTAATAGATAAATACTATACATCTATTTTATATATAGCATGTCTGAGGAAATTTCAAAAAGAGCATGGGAAAATAGATGAAAGTACAAATTTATTTTGGTACAAAAAATGTGAAATCTATGTAAATCTTTTTTTTTTTTTTCAGTTTGCTATAGGACACATGCACTCACCAGAAAGAGACAGAGAAAAAGTGAGAAATCATCCCCCCAAGGATGATTTGGCCATGCTGCCATCTCTTCTCCTTTCTCCCCTCAGGATTTTGGGCACATATGCACATGTGCCCGGTGTTTTTTGTTTTTTGGGTTTTTTTGAGAGTTTTTTTTGCTATAGGGTGCGTGTGCTCGCCAGAGAGAGAGAGAGAGACAGAGAGATAGAAAGCGAGAAATCACCCCCCAGGGGGGATGGCCACGCCACAATCCCTTCTCCTCCATTCTCCTCTTGGGATCTTGGGCACGCATGCACACGTGCCCGGCGTGAATTTTAAGTCACCGGGTCCAGGACGCGAACTGCGGTCGACTACATGGGATTCCAGTGACATAGCCATTACGCTAACTGCTGGTCCCTGTGCCTGGTGTTTTTGAAGCCACTGGGTCTGGGACTCGAACTGCTAAGTCAACCATGTGGGATCCAGCCACTTAGCCTCCATGCCACCTGATGGCCCTAGTATTTTCATTCATACTTATTTTCCAAAAACTTTTAAAGACCCCGTGTGTGTGTGTGTGTGTGTGTGTGTGTGTGTGTGCATGTTTTAATTACCAGAGGGTGCATGTATTTGCCAGAGAGAGAGCGAGAGAAAGAAAGCATCCATCCCATGGGGCATGGTCTCGGTGCAATCCCTTTTCCTCTGTTCTTCATCCTACTGGAGTTGGGCATGCACCTGTCATGTTTCCCAAGGCACCACGGCTGGGTCTGAGCCATGGTCAGCTATGTGGGATCGAGTCCTCAACCACTAGACTGCGAGACTGGCCCAGGCAAAACCTTTCCCTGTGAACAGGCAGATCCGCCTGGTCAGATGAGAATGCGGACGTGAGAGGGCTTTGAGAAGGTATAAATGCCCTCCCAGTGGTTCCCAAGCTTGGCTGCACGCTGGGGACCTCCTGAGGAGTTTCAGAAACACTGAAGCCTGGGAGCCACCCCCAGAGATGAGATTTAATTGGTCTGGGCTCTGGCAGCTTTGAAAGATTCCCGATGATTCTAAGGACAGACGGGCTCCAGAGCCCTGGTCCTTTGGCTATGTGGTGCGGCTCCCTGCACGGTGGGGCGAACCTGCACCTGTGTCAGACCTCTCTCCTCTCCCCTGCTCTGCCTCACTTTCCAATGACATGGGGAGCCGCCGTTGAGAGAGCTGTGGCTGGGAGGTGGGGCATCCTCAAATCAGCTCGGGAGCTCACATCGTCATGGGCCACCCTGCAGACCAGGCCAGGACCCGTGAACTGCAGCTGGGGTTTGTAGTGGAAGCAGTAACTATTTCCTGCAGACTACTCTGTACCAGGGACAGGACCGACAGCAGGCAAGGCAGCCCGGACGGGTCCTGATCGGAGCGGCCGTCCCTCTTCCCCGACACTGGGGCTGCGGGCTGGGCAGACCCTCTCCTGACAGCCCAAAGCCAGGCCTGAGAGCATCCCCTGAGCGCCTCATGCCAAGTCCCCGCCCAAGGGCCTTGCTTGGTCTCTGAGGAGAGAACAGAGGGGCCTCTAAGGATTCTGGTTCCAGAGACCACAGGGAAGGTGGAAGTGAGGGACCGGCCCAAGGCCCCCCGCTGCCCTGGATGACTGCCCTGGCTCACTTTCCTGGCATTCGTCACCACCCTGTCATCTCTTCCTGGTTCGGACCCGCCGATGACATGGAACATAACTGGGGCTGAGGGGCGGGGGGCGTGAAGGGCTCGCAGGACCTCCCCCTGCTCCACCAAGCATCCACTTCTTCCTGGGAGACACGCCATAATTCAGGTGTTCGGCTGTGGGTACTGGAACGTGGGTCAAGCTGGCTGTGGCACTTACTAGCCCCGTGACTGTGAGGAGGTACTCGGCCTCCCTTCCCTCATCTGTAAAGGACAGAATGCAGGCCCATCCCAGGGCTGATGAGGGGCACCCAGCTGCTAGGAGGTAAGTGCTCAGAACGGCGCCTGGGGACTAGCAGGCACCGGGTAAATGAGGGCAGGTCCTTCCTCAGTTCCGAAACGCTCTCTTCCCTAACACACCGGCCCTACCTCCAACACTAACCCCCTCCCTGCCCTCCCCTGTGCTCTCAGACCCTGAGTTCTCCCCGGCCTCCTTTTCTGAAATCAGCCTCAGATGAAGTTGTGGCCAGAGCCTCCGTAACGGGCCTGCCCTGGGAACTCACCTCTGGCCTGGAAGCTCACCCTGAAGTCTACCTCGCGTCCTTCTGCGCTGTTCCCCCTGCCGCGTGCTGCTCTGAGGTTCCTAAGTCCTGCTTGCTGATTCGTGAGTCCTTTGACAGCAGGAAAGGCCACAGGCCCTGGCACAACTGCTCTTCCTAGAGGTGAATGCAGCCAGAGGAGGCTGAGAGAGGGCTCCGGACAGGTGTGCGGTCTCGCCCAGCTCCCACCTGAGCCAGCTGCCTGAGGTCAGAGCTGGGATGGGAGGGGTGGGCCTGGGGGCCGCTGCTGCACAGGGCCCCCCCGAGGACAGGGACTCTGCCTGCTCCACTGGCTCCCCCAGGAGTCACACCCTGCCTACCTGCCTCATTAACTCCTGGCCCACGGGACAGAGATGTCGGTGCCTGCTAGGCCCCCAGGCCCCAGGGAGAGGCCATTACCCAGAGCAGGACCTGCTCCCACCCTCGCCCGGGGCTGGGCATCCGCACTCCAGCCTGCTCTCCCTCTCTCTGCGCATGCCCCAGCCTAGACGCTGCTCAAAGCCAGGGCAGGCTGTGCGCTGGCAGAGGGTCAGAGAAGGGGGAGGTGTTGGGTGAGAATTAGCGAGGAGCCCACACGCAGTCTGGAGGTTGAAGGGGGCCCACTGAGGGCATGAACTCAAACTTTGGTGTTTTCGGATGCCTGGCCCCGGGTCACCTGGCTTCTGCTTCACACCTGTCATGACAGAGAGCTCTCTGCTGAGATACCCCTTCTATAACCGAGAAGAGGCCTAGAGCCAGGTGCCCAGGACCCGCTCACCAGAGGCTCTGCATCCTCCTGCTCTCCCACGCTGTCTCTTGCACTGCCTTGCTCATCTCTGTGAAGCTGGGGTTCCCTCTGATTCAGCTGGGGAACTCCCCAGTACCCAGATGGTTACGCAGCACCAGACTCAGGGCCCCGCACACCCTGGTCCCAGCGCATGTGAGCATTATGGTAGCTAATGGGGAGAGGTGACAGACAACCTTTGCAACAACACAGAGGACAGGATAGTCCAACACTGACGGGGCATCTCCAAGCCTCCCGAGCGCTCCCTGGGGGCACTGGGCACCCCAGGCCTGAGAGCCAAGGTGAAGCCCCCTGGCAGGAGACGATGGTTGTGCTAATGTGGGACTCCTGCGACAGCTCCCAAGAGGAGCCCATGAGTGGTTCTGAATCAAGGCTCCCTAGGTGCTCCCCAGGCTCCAGCAGCCACACCCCAGCTGTACCCCATGCGTATCCAGAGATGGATATCCCAGGGCAAGGGCTGTGCCTAGAGATCCGGGGTATGTGACTCCTCAGGGGGAGATCCTGGGGAAAGGGGGTGGGGTGGAGCTCTGGAGACAGGACAGGGGGCACATCAGAGGCCAAGCAGTACTCCTCCTGGGACGGGATTCTGCTTGGAAGAAACTCACGGTCACAGAGAGGCTGTGAGTGAGACAAGGGTGGCGACACTCCGCCAGGCAGCCACAGTGGGAAAGAAACAGCACTTGGGCCAGCAGGAGGCATAGTGGTTAAGGTGCTGGATTCCCACATGGCCGACTGTAGTTCAAATCCTGGACCTGGCGGCTTGAAAATCACTTCAGGCGTGTGTGTGTGTGTGTGCGTGCGCGCCCAAAATTCCAGGAGGAGAATGGAGAAGGGATTGCAGCATGGCCATCCCCCTGGAGGGTGATTTCTATCTCTCTCTCTCTGTCTCTTTCTAGAGGGCATGTGCCCTATGGCCAAAACCTAAAAAAGAAAGAAAGAAAAAGAACCAAGAAAAGCAACCGCACTCGCAGTTAGCAGGTCGCACGGGTTAGTAATCAGTCCCACAGCAGGCTTCCCGAGACATTTCTTTCCTCTTCAACATCTTTTTTTTTCTGATGATATAAAGAATACCCAGTTATTGCAGAACATCTGAACACGCAAATATGTATAAAAAGGAAAATAACAGCCCCATACATCCACCCTATAATTTCACCTCCCAGAGATGCATAGCCAATATTTCAGTGTGTTTTCCTCACGTTGGTTTTCTAGACGTTTCCTTTCCTTAAAGTATGACCACCCCTCCCACCCCACCCAAAGCCTTATGTGCCTAGCAGGGTCCTTCTCTGGAGTGCAAAGGCCAAGAGTCATACAGGTGACCCTGGGATCCGGGTCCTGATTTGAGGAGGATTTTCCTGGACTTGCAAACTGGTGCTGCCTGTCATCTGTCGATGCTGTGTCCAGCAAGCAGGACAGGAACCCCGGGGTGTGGCCAGCCCCCCGAGCTAGGACAGCCATCAGAAGCAGCAGCTGGCTTTCTTGGGTGGCCTCCCCGGGGCCACGTTCACTGGCGATCCCTTCAGGCGGTCCTCTTGCATCTTGAGTGACCTGTGTGACCGCGCCGGGAAAATGTCAATACCCCGTGAGCACACTCCTGCCCTGTTTTATGTAACTCTTTTCGGGGGGGGGGTTGGAGAGTAGGAGTGGGCTCAATGTCATTGCACTGTCCGGTCAGACACATGAAATTGCCGACTTGGCCCAGCGTGCTCAGATATCAGCGATCCCGGTTGTAACCTGACCTGTGTCTGGATTTGCAGTTAACCCTCTCTCTCACCTCCCAGGAGCCACATGGAGGGGCTCGAGGATGCAGCCTCAGGCCTGGGAGGCTGCACCCCGAGCTCCCCACCTTCCCCCTGCTCTGAGCAGCCCTGAATTCCTCATGGCACCAGGAAAATGGGGCCACGGACACTCTGGCCTTCACTGTCTTTCCTGGCATTCTTTCAGCCCTACTGTGTGTCAGCACTCTGGGGGTGGGGGCTCTGGTCAGGACAAAGAAGCCAGTGCTTCCCACCATGAGGAGTGAGGGTGCCGGCCAGGACAGGGCTAATGCGGCCTAGGGGTTCCCCAGCAGGTCCTAGTGGGATTCTGAAGGGAAGGAGACCTGAGCCCGGACAAGGTTTGCTCACAGGAAGGCCTGCACGGAGGGTTCAGGTGAGGGGCTGGGGACATAGAAGGGGTCCCCTCATTTATTCACGAGCTAGTCAAGGTGTGCATGTGCTCACCTGGCCTAACGCCACCCCTGCTCTTCTCATTCACCTGTTGAGTATCTGCTGGGCTGTCAGAAATGACATGATCACTTTTGCACAGAAAAATGAAAAAAACACATCATGACATTTCTGATAACCCAACAGCCAGGCCTCGGGTATGGGCAGAGGAGCTGAGCAAAACAGATCGGGCCCTGGCCGCCCAGACAAGAAGAAAACAGAGAAGCGCACACGTAGTTACCCTTTGTCACGAAGAGCTTTGAGGACACGGAGGGCTGGGATCCAGAATAGTCGGGGTGGGGTGATCAGAGAGGGCCTGGAGCTTGCCGAGTGTGCGAGTGTGGGGTGTGCGTGCGAAGGGGTGGGGCATGGTACTGGAGATAAAGCAGGCCACTGCATGGCATTGGGTTTTATTCTAAATCCATAGAAGTCACTAGAAGGCTGGGAGCCGGAGAGGAGCGCTCTGCCAGTCCACTTCACAGATGAGAAAACGGAGGCTTAGACAGAGGAAGCGGCTTTAGGGGGGACACAGCTAGTGGGGATGTCGGACCGAGTTGTACACTCCTGGTCCAGCCTCTCCCTCCCAGACTGTGAGCCCTGTTATTAAACAAGGCGTTCCTTGACTCATGTCCTCAGAATAGCTTTCTCTTCCCACAAAGTAGTCAGGAGTGGGGCTGCCCCGGAGGATTCTGGGTGGGGCTGGAGTGGGCAGGGCGGGCGGTACTCACCTGGCCATGTTCACCATAGGCTCCAGGATGTTATGACCCAGGACAGCACTGCACTCTCCAAAGGAGACCCCCAACTCCTGCAGACCAGACCGTGAGGGACATGGGTGGTTCGGGGGAGACCCATGAGCGGCCAGGCACGGCCTGTACCACAAAGCCCTGGCCACCAGACAGCCCAGCCCAGTGCTCCCTAAGTGACTTCGGTGGCCAAGCGTGGCCCATGGTCCCACACTGAGCTCCTCTGCCCGCCGCCCCTCCACCCTGGCTGGCCAAGGTGTCAAGGATGCCATGCTGGAGACATTCCACAGGTGGGAAGCGTGTGCCCCAATTCAGAAAAATGCCTCTGGAGACATTTTATGACTGTTAGTTAGAGCTTTTGGTTTTTAAAGTATTTTATTGGGGAAAAATAAAGGAAGATGTTGGATAAAAAAGTGTAAGCACCAGGACCAGGCAGTGGTGCAATGGTAACCCAACTACACCCACACGGGCAGAGTCCTGTGCTGGCGTCCCAGCACCTCCCAGTGTGTGGGCGCATGTGGGCACGTCCGTGAGCCAGGCTAGGGAGGCCGGGGTGGACTGCGTCAGGAGAGCCCTGCTCAGCGTGCCGGTCTCTCCCCTTTCCTCTCTTGGGAAAGAAATTAATAAAAGCCTTTTTTAAAAAATATAACTATGGTGGGGGGGATCAGCAGGTGGCATGGTGGTTAAGGCACTGGACACTCCCATATGGCCAACCACAGTTTGAGTCCTGGACCAGGTGGCTTGCTTGCTCTCTCTCTCTCTCTCTCTCTCTCTGTGTGTGTTTCTGTTTCTCTCTGGTCAAATTAAATGAATGAAAAAATCGAATTAAATAAATAATTTTTTAAAAAGTATAACTATGGGACTAGCAGATGGCGTAATAATTATATCTCTGGACTCTGACATACTCAACCGCAGTTCAAGTCCCAGGCCCAGAGACTTAAAACTCATGCTGGGCGCATGCGCGTGCATGCCCAGGATCCTGAGAGGAGAATGGAAGGATTGCAAGCGTGGCCATCCACCAGGGGGATGATTTCTCACTTCCTGTCTCTTTGTCTCTCTCTCTCCCCAGTGAGTTCACGCACTCTATAGCACAAATCTCCCTCTTATAATAATAATATAATAATAACAAAAAAGTTTAACTACAAAATGTCAACCAGTTCTGTTCACATAGCCCCATTCTGCTTCAATACCCCAGGCTGGGGTACTAGACATCATTGTACTGTTAGATGAAACCGTGTGAAATTGCTGCTTTGGCAAAAGTGGCAAACAGCCGAGCGGCAGCGGTTCCTACGGTTTCATGTAACTTACATGTAGATTTGCAGCCGCTTCTCTGACCCCATTGTATTGTAAGCATCTCCTCCACACCCTTGCATGTCTTTCTAAGAAAGAATTCTTTTTCTCTCTCCTTCTTTCTTCGAAATAACACTGCAAAGAACACCCTCACATAAACACGTCTGATTATACAGTGTAGGTGGGCATTACATACGCCTTTGGGGATTATTACTATTTCTGATTCTTTTCTTAGGATAAATTGCTAGAGAAGGAACTACCGTGTCAAAGGGCTACGCTACTACTTTGAAGAGAAAAAAAAAAATCCTCGCCAACCAGGAGCCACAATAATGACCTCACAATTATGAAAATGAGAGGGGAGAGAGAGGAAACACGACATGGAAATGCCAGGAGGGACTGTGTTAGATGTGGGGCGAGGAGTGAGGTGTTTTATTTTTTTTTTTCCTTTTTTATTACTCTCTAGATTTTCTGGAATGTGGTTAAATCCTATTCATAAATAAATAGTACTCACGACCTGACAGTGAGCTTTTGATGTAATCTTCCCAAGGAAGAATTTAAGTCTTAAAATAGAATAAAATTAGAAGGGGTATGTTAATGAAAGACTAGAGACGAAATTCAGATTTGATTGGGAATTTGAAGTGAAGCTTTGAAAACCTTCTACTCTGAAGACAGGTCTCTGAAGGCTGGGACACTGTGTGGGAATTTGCTAATTCCACAGTGAGGTTCCACGCCACGGCCACCATGACAGCCTTCTGATTGGGTCGGGCCAGGGGTGAGTGGGAGGCAGAGGTGGCCAGGCTGCTGTCCACTCCCACCGGGCCTTCGGCTGGGGCGGGGCAGGCATGGGCCATGGGTCCTTCCCGTTTGCCCGGGCCAGGGTGACCCCTATTCCCTGTAACCTGTCTAGGCTGGTGAAGGGGCACAGCCCAGGGGCTCACCTGGGCCAGCTGCCGCCCCGCCTCGGTGGGCACTTGCCGCTCCTCTTCACAGTCTATCTTGTTTCCCAGGAGGAGCAGGACCACTCCGTCAGACCCTGTGTCCTGCACACACAGCGTGTTCCCTCAGCGTCCGCACTGCATAGCGGGCCCTGGGCAGGTGAGCCCTGCCCTCCTAGAAGCTGGCAATCCGACCCCACCTGTGTCCCCTCCCTGTGCCACACCCTTCGAATCTGGACATTTCTCCACATCTGCAGTGACTCTGCCCCTCCTCCTGCCTACGACTATCTCCCCTACTTTCCAAGGCACCTCCCCTAGGAGGCCCTCCTGGAGTACTCCTGCTCCTGTGCCTCTTCCTGCCTATCTAGCACTTGATTACAGGTCGCCTCAGTACCTTCCTGGCTGTCCCATGAGTAATAACAATGACTTCTAGTTACTGAGTGCTCACTATACACAGAGGCTGTGCTGGACGTGATGTCAGCTACTCCTCACAGCTCCCCTATGAGAGAAGCTAGGAAACTGAAGTTCCGACAGGTTAAGTCTCTTGTCCAAATCACACAGTTCGGGAGGAACAGTTGTGATCCAGCGTGGGCCCTGTCAGAGCCCAGAGCCCAGCTTCCCTCTTCACGTGTTATCTAGTTCCGCGTCCTTTGCGTGTCTGTAACTGGACTGGAAGCTGGACAACACGCCCCGCTCCGTCCTCTGCTGGGGTCGCCCTCACAGAAGTCCAGCATACACGTGCGTGCGGGGCTGGGCAGGGCTGTGTTTAACACGGGAAGCTTCACTTGGAGTGGCCTGGAACCGCATTATCCTTAGGCTCAGAGGAAAGACGTCGTCACAGGGTAAAGGAAGCATTTGGCTTGGTGGCCGTCCCATGTGGCTGGAGTTCTCTGTACTCCCAGCTCCCCGGCCATCTGCCCTCAGTGAGTGGTGTCACCCGGGGGCCTATGGTGTCACCTGCCATCCTGGGAGGAAAGCAGGAGCGGGCAGGACCCTAGCTCCCTCTTGACCCCGAAACCTGGCACCAACCCCAGAAGACACG